TTAAATTCATTCTTTCATTCATTTTTTGCCACATCACTTTGTATGGAGATTTTTGTAAAATTTCTTTGTAAATATAGTATTACTTTCTATATTTATCAAACTGATAACATCATTAGTTATTCTCTTTATTATTAGAAGGATACTATTAACTTGTTGAGATGTCTAGTTAATGGCTATCACTATAGTACTTTACTACAGCTATTACATTGTAAAAGAAAAGGTAGAAATCTCACTTTGATTTTGAAATAAAGAATGAAGCAAAGAGTGATTTGTCATTTCCACTCCACCAATACTGGTTTGGTTGACATTTGGTAATTGGTATTTTAGATAAAGGTAACTTCCTTTATCTTACAAGTCTCTCATGTTTTCATTTATTGTTGCTTCTGTTTTTTCCTTTCCATTTAAACTACTTCAACTCTACAAAGTTGGTTGCATGTGGAGGATATATACATGGAAGAAATTTGAAGAGATAGAGTAAAGCTAAGATTATGAAATCAAATGCCTACTACAATTGAGCTGACAATCTCAAATGCATTCACCACGAGCATCCAGCTTGCACTGAAACAGAAAGATACTCTTCTTCATTAGTGACTGTTGAAAACTTGTTGCGTGCATTTGAATGTCGCTTTACCCATCCCTAGCTCTCCCTGCTGCAACATCATCATGTGTTAACTTATGACAATTGCATAAGCTCGTCCCCCAAGTCTCTTCATTTTGTATTCTTCTTCTCGGTCTCAATTTAAAGCTAGCTTTTATAAATGATGAAATCTATGTGGTTGATATCATTTTATTTCTTCCCATTAATATTTCTCTCATAATATAATTAAATGTATATCTTGCTAATTTTTTTTAGGGTTTATTTTAATTTTTTTCATCCGTTTTGTTCAGCATTTACATTTACAAAGGGTTTATTTTATTTTTTCATCCGTTTTGTACAGTATTTATATTTATAAAGGGTTTCGGTAATTTTCTTATACATGATATTTTTAAAAGGGCTTTTGACAATTATAGTGGAACTTTTAATACTTTCTGAAAGAAACAAAGCGTATATGTTTAATACTAAGCAATCTCGTAGGAGAAAATGAAATAAATCTTTTTTTTTTTTTTTTTCCAAATCAAGTTTTCCTTTATGTCTTTGAGTAATTAATTAATTAGTATACATTTAAATCATGACCACTGCGATTTAAGAGAAGGATCCTTATGAATTTTAGAACCAATTAATAAATCTAATACGAGTTAAGGCTCTAGTGAAATTTTATATTTAAAAGAATGGAAACGAGAGCGTTGGATACAACATCAAACAAAGCGACTTAATTAAAATAAGACACATGATAAATAGAAGGCGACCGATATTATAATTAAATATGAGCTCATTAGATTGGTGGGATGGGATCATGGGAGGCTAAGATTACAGAATCACGCCCCACAAATATTATAAACGACACTGTATAAGGTCGAGAGATGAAGGACAATAATTTGATTATAACAGTAGAACTGCATACTTTCAGATAATTGAATGAATAGGTTTATTATTGTGTGATACTGTGTAAAGGAATGCTTTTAATTATGCAAAACTGTTTTGAGGAAATGTAATAAGAACATTCAAACAGTCAAAGAATTCGATACTAATTAAAGTACTGAAAAAGTCTCACGTCTAGTCTATTTCTCATCCAAATCAGAGGATATTTTAATCCTGGCTGATAAAAATATTCAACTTTTTCTTTTGGTAAATATTTTCTTCATGTTTCCTTTTCAAACATATTAAAAAATTTAACTTGAAATCTATGAAGTTTACAATTTGAAATTTAATGAAAGTTTTGAAAAATGGTTTGGCCTGTTTTGGTTTATCCTATACATATGAAAATGATTTCTCAAAAATTAATAAAATAAAATATAAGCATTTTAATCCAAAATTTTAATAGTTAACTCGAAAATTTTTTAATTTTAAAGGGGAAAAAAACTACAAAAGCAGTACATATTAAAATGTTAACAGTTTTTGTTTTCGATTTCTTTATGGAACTCATTATTCCAGGAAAAAGTGAAGCAATTTCTTCAAAAACCTCTCGAGCAATATTGTCTTAAAAATAGTTACGGTATTTTTCCAAAACATATATTCTTTGTGGCTCTCAATCTCAAATATTCTAAAAACTATTGCATTTTAGAGGTTATCTAGAAATTTGACTGAGATGGCCTGTAAATATCAAAGAAAAATATATAGAGAAAAGGGAGAATAACTATAACTGAAAAGGCATTAGAAGGTGATCTGGGATGCAAAATGCACATATTATTCTGATTGCTTTTATGTTCAGGTTATCATTACTTGCTGCTGGGAACATACAGAGAGAGGCTTTAGCTTTATAGCTTAGGCTTCGCTAACATAATTACACTTTAAGATTTCATAACCATTGTATAATCTTATGAAACGACGCTTGCGCGTGCAACTTCAATTTGTGTGTGGGTCACCATGTATTCTTTAATTTCATATTATAGCCTTACAATCATCACAATTTCACGATATATTTATTTACGTCCCATAAGGTTTGAGTCTAATATGTGTCCAACAGTTTAAATTACTAAAATAAATCCTCTTAATTTTATTAGACATTTACTCTTGTAAGAGTAAAACGAATGATTCAGTTTTACAGATAAGAGTATAATAAATAATTCACTCTTAATTCAATTGTCTTTTTGTAAAAATGTTGCTTTAGAGTTATGATTTGATTAGCGATTATTAGTTTGAGGGAGTACTTCCTAAGTCTCCCTCCAATTCCACCGCCATTAGATTTGGGTTTTGTCAAATGTCATGGGTTAGATATTTGTCATTCTAATTCAAAGGTAAAAGACTAATTTATCAGGATTCAAACCCACTTTCAGATCAATCGTTTACATTGATGTTATTTTTTTATTTAATTCTTTTATGGTATGTGAAATCAGGAAATTAATCACTTCTATTGCCGAAAGCTTAAATTGGATGGTCCACTTGATGTTGAGTCAACGGGTTAAAAGTGAAAGCGTCAATGGGCCTAATAGATGTGGCCCACTTGATGGGTAGGCCATAGCCCATGGTTGTAGATGACCCCAATTTCCAAGGATTTTATTACTTTATGCAAAGATTTAGTTGATTTATAATAATGGGCTATATGCACCGGCCTACAAACTTCCACAACTTTGGGTAAAGTCAGAAATAAATGGACCCTGCAGCTAATTGGGGAATGGGGAGTCCACGCGTTGAGAATATTTTCGTATCACCTAAGGCTTCAAGTCTTCAACATGAAACAAAAAAAAATTCCCATTTAGTATTTAAAATCAAACACGATCTTGTTCTTGTATGATGTTAGGATTAGTGGGTAAGTTTATTAATCCTTGGACTCCCTCCCCTTGCAAACCGGTAGTAAAGGTGAATTCTACTAAATGGGTTCGTATCATATAATTATTTACTACAAATCACCGAATTTACTTTGGTATCAAAGACTAAAAAGAGAGCCTGTAATTTTTCTTTGGTAGAGATGAGAAGAGAAGGCATATTTCAAAGGGATGAAAGGAATTTGTAGCTGATGAGATATCACTAATAAAAAAATGGTCAACGCCTTAAAGTTCAGTGCTACCACAACTTACTTGCAATTACCAAATGATTAGAAGGGCGGTGCTAAATTAGATTTCAAACCATGATAAGACTGTTTAATTCAGAGGTTCTCCATGCATGCTTTCGCATCCAGAAATCTGTTTACGGGGAAATATACACTACAAAATGTGTTGGCAGTATTACAATCCCCTTATTTATGTAAATTATTAAATTAGTGATATAATTAGTCACCGACAAAGAAGAATAAATGAAGAAGAGTTGGAGGGAGAGTCATTTTCATGGCCATTGTATCCCAATGAAAGCATGTTTAATTGAGAAAAGTGGTTCTAGCGTAACAGGATGCTATATGTTCTTAGAAACTGAATACTCTAGCTCCTTCATTATTCTAATTAATCAAAACTAGATAAGACTTTGCCACAACTTTAATCATTATAAACGAAGAAAGCGAGAAACTGAGAATGGAACTCCGTTTTTTTTAATTTCTTTTACAGTTGGTTTATCATATTGTAATGAAACTACTCGAGACTTCGCCACAACTTCAATCATTATAGAGGAAGAAAGAGAGCACATTGGAACTCTTTGATAGTATAACAACACTCAGACGCATTCGAATAGCTTATTTATGTTGAATTTTCAACTGAATAAATTTTAAATTTATAAATATATAATTTTATTCATTTTCAGTTTTACTAACTAAATAAGTATTGAAGATATCATTCATCGAATGTAATTAGAGTGAGTAGACGAAAAAAAACAGACTGGCATTAGTCATTATAAATAGAAAGCTTCAATAAGTCTTAGCATAATTAGAATTGAAGACAATTCTTAACTAGGCATAACTTTTTTGTTGTGATAATATTTTTGATACATTCATTCTTGTTTTCTAAGCTCAGGATCTTTTATGTTCATTTTTGGTTTCATCTTTAATGAAGTTGGAATGCTGATCAAATAGGACATTCATATACCCAGTTTCTCGAACAATAATCCAACTCAAACAATGAATAAGCATATTAACAAGCACAAACATGCCCAGCTAAAAGCAATCCACGATACTGGAAGCGTATTATCATTAAGTCTTCGAAACAACTGAAATATTAAGGACCAGTTATTGGCTGAACGCTTGTTAATTTTGCATGCATTTGGAAATGGTATCTGCAACTATTTGAGTGCATTTGGATGCAGTCGCAGGTTCCAAACTTAATCTTACCATATCAATCCACAAAGCTCTGGGTATGAAGTGTTGATTTTATGGTTGAATATAACTGATATCATATCCTAAAAACATTTAACATAAGAACTACTATTCGTATAATATGTCTAATTCCATATATGTTAGTTGTTAACTAGATAAAAAACAGCAACAAGCACCAGGCCATGGAAATTACACAAGAAATATGAGACTGGCCCAATGGGGAAACAAATGTAAATTTCACTAGATTCATATAAGATCCAATACAATATAAAGCTTCCTGACAAAAGATGAACGCAAAAATTACAACCATGTGGACTAAAAGAAAGTCTATAATTTTCTAACCGTCCCTTCCGGAAAATATTCCAGACATAATCTCTACAATTACCTAGTTTAATTTCCAAATTCGAACCCCAAGTCCTTTCAGCAACATGGATGGAAACTTGGTGGTTGCATGAAGAACATCTTTCATTAGGGTGAAAGCTTGAGCCAGGTCAAGTATCAAACTGTCTCCAAGTTACGGGTCTCCAAAGTTCCCTGCAGGAACTCGACAGCACCATTGTAGTTTAAAAAGCCCATGAACCAAAACTCATGATTATCAACAGAGATAACCTGTATATATTTCTCAGCAGGATTGTTTCTGCTTGATGAAGGATTAACTGCTTTAAGCTGATGTAATGGGATAACTACCTATTTTAATTAGGTAAAAAGTGTCAATCGTTGTCACAAAAAAATCATAAATGATAAAAGAAAGAACAAACGACAATAGTCTATTATCACAATAAAATTACAAAAAAAAAAATAAATAAAAAAATAAAAAAATAGAGCAATGCAATATGAAACACCAAGTTTTGGCTAAAAGATTTTAACAAAAACAAACTATAGTGAATACTAAGTGCTAATAACTTCAGAGTTCAAAATAGCTGGAGCAAATATGAAGAATGTGTTTCCCCTATAATAATTTCCCACTGTTCACCCTCTTCTCATTGACAAAAGAAGGAACAGAAATCTGTTACAGGCCAAATCCCAAAACGCATAAAACATAAATAGCCTTAAACCACAAAAGATTTAAGTACAAATGTTATACGTTGCTGAAGTTAAGAGGCAAGGGCTTTTATTAATTGGGCAAAAAATAAAATTGAACTTGCTCTAGAGCATACCAAAGATGGACTAAATCCAATGTTATTACAAAATTATTATCTCTTTTTTTGTTGTACAATTTACTTTCATTCTATCCCTTATTTTTTTTTCTTAGGGTGGGGGTTTCAACAAACTTGGAAACTACAGGTAAATTATTAGAACATCTGATAAAAGAATCATGCAACACTTCCAGAAGAAACGAGAAAGATCCACTCCAGAAATTAGACAACAGTGAGTCCCCATCTAACACCTTTAAATTCAATCCACGGGAAACTGGTCTCATAAACCCCACACATAATTTTCTAAACAGATCCAGGATAAAAGAAAGTAAAATATCACCATCCGATATCAAGTCAAATCCAATGATTTCCTCCATGGCTCAAATTGAAGTGAAAATATTACCATCTGATTTTGAGCCACATCAAATGATTCCTCTATGGCTCAAATTCCATTAGGTCTTAAATGAAAAGACTAATATAGCATAATCACAACAAATATTAAAAAAAATTTACCCAGTAAGAACTATTCCCAAAATTGATGATGGTGAAACAAATATCTACCAACCAAAAATAGACCTTCTAACAGGCTAAGTGAGGAACAGATACACCCCTCCAAAGGAACCACTTTCAGGTTACCAAGAGTCCAATCTCACAAGAACAGGGCTTAGTCATTTCATTTAAAAGATAAAAAGCAGAATCTGCTTCGGTTAATCATAAAAGTTTATAGACCACAAGAATACACTCGCAAAGATGTTATCACAATAACTGAGCAGGCCATCTAAGCGAAATAGTAGAAAGGTGGGAAGTGACGAGGAGTATGCAAAGAACAAAAGCACATGATATCTCATGCTGAATTAAAATGAATTAGCAAGTAATCTAGTAACTTCATAACTTACACAGTGGACGAACAGCTATAACCTTACTTCCATCCATACTCTGTACTTCTACAATGTACAAGATGGAAAATCACCCTTAAGCAGGCTGCCAGGGGGACCAATTTTTCTTCTGATTATCTCACAGTAACATTGAATCAAAATCTCAAGCGTACCCTTTCATATAACGTTCTTTTACACAAATAAGAGTCTACGATTATAAATAAAGACTAGTCATATATCACCCAATCATAATCTAATGGACTGAAGATAAAAAGAGGATCTCCAGAGTAACATTTTCTTTTCAAAAAAATACTAATTATATTTATAACAATAATAATAATGTATTTAGAAGCATAGCAAAATACCTTATAATAGCTCCATTCCATTTGACTACCAGATTTATAAGAAAGCGGATTGTCACTACAGAATGCAAGCTTTGCCGTAGATACATATAAGATACCCATCACCGGACCAGCTGATGTGGATAAGTAACAAGCATATGAATTTCGAAGTTCCTCCTCAGGAACAGTCTCAAAAGTTTGTCTGAAAATCTTCTCATAACCACCTTCTGCCAGAACTTTAGTTCCCTGTGCTAGTCTTCCCATTGCAGCATCAGCAAAACTTGGGGCCGTTTTCACTAATTTAATGCAGAAAGGAGTCACACCAGTGATTTTTATGATGTAAAATAACTAAAAAAAAAATTACTGATAAAAAAAACAGATAACCAAGTCATTGCCCTAGAAGAAAGCAAAAATCAGAGAGTTTGGATAAATTTTCTACATTAGGGATATACCATGGGCTAGGATACTAATGGGGTTTATTTTTTGACCTTTTTTAGTTGGCCGAATTAAGAAAAGTGTTGATGGCATATTGCCCATATTACCCCTTCGACCTATCTTCTTCACTAGGTTTCTCATCTCCATCCATTCCACTTCCACCTCTACACGGTTTTTTCTTTCCTCAACTCTTCTTTTCTCCAATCCAACAACTAACCAAGAAAAAAACAATTTCAGTAGATGGTGAAGGTAATTATGCTTAGACATGCATTGCTTTGCGCCCAGTATCTCAGAGCATTTTCCTGAAAAACCAGCGGGTTTTCTAGAAGAACTCAAAGTATATTGGATACGCCATATGTTTCAAGAATGTGCTCGAAATCTTCTGAAATGGTGCAGAAAGTCCTCAAAGGTTCTGAACATTATGCAAGGCTATAGAAGGTTCCAGAACAACATAGAAACTAAAGGAACTTCAGAAATTCTCCAGGAAATTCTGGAAGTATACACAAGTCTCAAAAGAAAAGGAGAAGAATCAGCAAGTCTCTAGAGCACTCAAAGATGCTTTTAGTCAAGAATTTCGTACAGTATTAATATACTATAGAGTAAGAATGTTTTAAATATCTTAGGAGTTTGAGAGCATTATAAAAGTAGAATATTAACCATATGATGCAAATAAATACTTGTAAAAAAAACGATTAATACTAGCCATAAATTGAGAAGGTGGAAGAGCTATAAATAGGAGAATCCCCATTTGAGTACAAGATCTAATGATAGAGAGCATAGAATAAAAGATATAATCCAGTGTACACACTCAAGCTCTCAAGCAAATGATAAAAGTTCTTGACCAAATGTCTCAATTCATCTCTCTGGTCTCCTCGTTATCTTATCTAAACCTCTTTTTTGTGGTGAAGCAAGGCTAACTGCAGGCTAAAAAGAAGAGCTCTAGCAGTTAAGGCTGCACAATACAAATAAGAAAATTCTCAAGTCATGGCAATTAGTAACAGAGTCATACACAAAGGAGATCCTTTTCTGGATTGAGAACAGTTGCAGGTAGACACAATGGCAAAGATACTATTGTGAAATTGAGACTGGCCAAGGTTTATAGAGGAGGCTATTTGCAGGATTGAGATAAACACAAAGAAAAAAATACAAGTTGTGAGTAAGGACACTAGGGACGTGAGGTTGCTCCTAATTTGAGAAAGACAACTCATGGCTAGGACAACTCCAGTGACATTGTAAGTGCCATAGAGGCCAAGGAGGTTAGGGTGGAACTAATCATGACAACACTTTGTTACTACTAGATCGACTATAATAACATATGGAAGAGCTTAAGGGTATGGTGCATAACATGGTAAAAGAGATCAAGGAGATTGATAAACCAGCAATACATAAGGTTTACAACCGTAAGGGGCATAATAGACATTAGGAAGGTTGTTAAGGGAGTAGGGTCCACAAGGTACAGGTGTCATGGATGAGAGTTTGTTTTGAGAATATGAATTGTGTGACTAAGGGTAATTGTGGAAAGGGAAACTGTATATAAGCAGGGAGGGTCTAGCAGCAGGATCATCTTTGGCATTGATAAAAACAATGGAGGTACCTGGCTCCTCGAAACGCCAGGGTTTTGGGTTACTTTCCAATCATTACATATCATATCTGTTTCATTCAAGTTATCAGATTAATACAAATTGTGCTGAGTTTTTATCTGTTCTATTCTTGTGTTTTCTGGTTGTGGTTTGGCAGTGAGTGGGTGATTTATGTGAGAACTATTGCTATTTGGTTGTGGTTTTAGTTTGTTTGCAGGTGTACGTATCAGAGATCAGGCTGGAACTAATCACGACAACACTTTGGAAAGACTAAATCGACCGTAACAACAGATGGAGAAGCTTAAGGGTATGGTGCATAACATGGTAAATGAGATCAATATTGTTATCCTACCATGGAGGCACAACATCAAGAGAACTTAGCATTCTAAGCAAGGGTATTGAATACATTGGTGAGTTTAAAAGCTTAACATGGGGAACCTGACTTAGGCATCATAGTAGATTGGGCACTGTGATAGAAGCCAGTTGCAAACAACTCAATCATGGCAAGTACAACATGCACATTTTCATAGTAAAAGGTACCCAAACCCCGAGCTCCCCAATGGGAAGAGGATTGCAAAGCACCGAAACAATTTATGTGGCACATGGAAAGGTACTTCACTGTACTTAGGATGGAAAGACAGAATGATGGAAAGGGCTCTCATGTGGGGGGTGTTGAAGAAAACCAAGCAAGGAGATTTATGGGTAGTCAGCATCGAAGCTGGGTGTCAGTTGCTGGCAACCGAAATCAAAGAGTTAAAATGCCGATGACGTATTTTAAGCCATCTACAGATGCAGCACCATCTACAGATGCAGCAGGAGTGACAACAATTTGCCCACCAATTTCAGTTGCTATTGAGGGAAGAAAACAATTATAGATAAAAAAACCTCCCTTTCATATTGCTCAATCTTATGCGATGAAAATGTGGAGGAAGTATGGGATCACCGAGGCGATGATGAATGATAAAGCATTCTTCTTTTTTAAATTCGAGAATGAATCTGATATGATTCAATGTTTGGATGGTCCATGGCTCTTTCAAAACCGTCCAATTCTTCTTCAAAAATGGTGTCCAGCTATGGAACTTAGTAAGGAAGCTCCTTGAGTAATTCCTCTGTGGGTGAAATTGTTCGATGTTCCTTTGGAGTTTTGGAATAATGTTGGCCTTAGCTATATTGAGAGTGGAGTGAGCAAGCCTCTAGGAATAGATAGGGTCACAGAGGACACTTGTAGATTGAGCTCTGGACGTATTGGTTATGCCAAAATTCTTGTGGAAGTTGAAGCTACTCGTAAACTACCTGAAGTGTTGAATGTTTGTACCTCGTGTGAGGAGACTGGTTTGACTAAAATGTTTAGTGTCCGTGTTGATTATCAATGGTGACCTTCTCAGTGTGATCGGTGCTCTGTTTTCGGTCATAAAGATGCAGATTGCCCGCAACAGCCTAGGCATGAGGGTAGAGTTGAAAGTGGGGATTTGCATAAAGTGAAATCTGTGGATAATGAAGGGTTCCAACTTGTTACTAAAAAAGGTAAAGGGACATCACAAAAGGGAGACATTTTAGGCGCTAGTGGCTCTAAAAAGTCGCGAGAAGAAATTGTTCCGTGTAAGGCTAAATTGGCTAAAGAGTCAAAAGTAAAGTCAACTGTCAGTGTGAGTAATGTCTTCCAATGTCTAGCTACAGCCCTAGAGGAGAGACAAGATGAACCTCCCGATCATCCTAAGAATCTAGGGACCTCAACGGTTGCTGAAGACAAGGAAATGGTTATGAAAGAAGAATCATAGTTGGGCAATTCGGATTTTGAATTTGATAAGGCTTCAATGGTGGAATTCATTAAGGAAGGGGTTGTTGACTTGGACCATCCACAGGGTACTGATGCAGGGGGAGGTAGGGGTAACTCCCCATTATGTTCTTAATCTTTATGGTTAATATTGCTTGTTGGAATATAAGGGGTCTTAACCAACCCCTAAGGCAAGCGCAAGTTCGTAATTTTGTGAAGGATCGTTGTATTTCTCTTTGTGCCTTGAAACCAGAGAAGCTCGCAATAATTGTTTGCGTGTCTTTGATAATACGTTCAAAAGATGGAATTGGGATTGCAATGCTGATCAAGGGAATCAGGGTTGCAAGATTGTTATAGGATGGGATCTGGCTTTCTACAGGGTGGAAGTTCAAGAGAAAACTGACCAAGTTATGCACTGTCTCATCCGAGGACTTACTAGTGATAGTTATTTTTTCTGCTCTGTCATCTATGCTGCCAACTACCATATTAATAGGAGGGAGCTTTGGCGGAATTTAGAGAATTTTATGGAGAAAGTGTTGAATGAACCGTGGTTGTTAATGGGCGACTTCAATGTAACTATGAATATAAGTGAAAGTCTGGGAGGAGTCTCTTATATTACCACGGGCATGAAGGAATTTAAGGAATGTGTTGATAATCTAGAGGTGGAGGATATTAATAGAGCTGGAATTTTGTATACGTGGAATGGTAAACCCCACAGGGATAATGGGGTTATGAAAAAGTTGGATAGGGTGACGGGCAATTCCATTTTTATGGCTACTTTTCTGAGAGCTAATACATTCTTCTTTCCCCAAGGGATAAGTGATCACAGCCCTGCTATGACTGTTTTTCCCCAACTCATGTCGAGTAAGCCTCGACGTTTCAAATTTTTCAACTATTTGGTGTACAAGGAGAATTTTAGATCGTTGGTTCAACGGGTTTGGGATACTCATATACCTGGATTCCCATTATTCTCGGTGGTGCAGAAGCTAAAAGCCCTCAACCTTACTTTAGAGCCCTTAATAGGAAGCAAGGTAATCTCACTCAGAAGGTGGCAGTGCTTAGGAAGAGGTTGAAAATATTCAGAGTGCCCTTGATGTTGACCCTCATCATAGAGAATTAAGGGAACAAGAAGCATTCTTTTCATGGTCGTTTAGGGAAGCATTGTTGGATGAGGAAAGGCTTTTGAAATAGAAGTCCAAGATTCACTAGTTAAGTGTTGGGGACCAGAATATTGGCTTCTTTCATAAATCTCGGAAATCTTCTCTGAATATCAGGCGAATAGAGAGAATATCTCTTGATTCGAATGAAGTAGTGGAAGGTCAAGCTATGGCTAAAGTTTTTGTGGATTATTACCAGAATCTCCTCAGTACAGCTCCCTTGGTCTCAAGTATGGAAGGCTTTACTAATTTGTTCCAGTCCAGAGTGTCTAAGATGCATTGCATGAACATGATCCGTGAGGTTAGTAAACAAGAAATTAAAAGTGTTATTTTTGATATCAGGGATGAAAAAGCTTTGGGTCCGGATGGGTTCTCCTCAAAATTCTTCAAAGCAGCTTGGAGTATTGTGGGGGATGAAGTGTCGGAGGCAATTATTGACTTCTTCAACAATAGTAAACTTTTGAGGGAGGTGAACTCTACGGTGATAGCGCTTGTTCCTAAGCTGGATGTGCCCCAAAAAGTGGGTGATTTCCGACCAATATCCTGCTGTAATGTGCTCTACAAAGCCATTTCCAAAATTATAGCTAACCAAGTGAAACGGTGCTTAGGAGACCTTGTGGAAGTAAATCAATCAGCCTTTATTCCGAGTAGGTGTATAAGTGACAATATTTTGTTAGGTCAAGAGCTATTTAGGAACTACCACCGTAGTACTGGAGCTGCTAGATGTGCTTTTAAAGTGGATATACAAAAAGCTTATGATAGTGTTGATTGGGGCTTCTTGATCCAAACTCTAAAATACTTTGGCTTCCCAGAAAAAATGATAGGATGGAAATGTGTTACCACTCCTTTTTCTGTGGCTATAAACAGGGAACATCATGGGTTCTTTCAAAGAAAAAGAGGATTGAGGCAAGGGGATCCCCTTTCCCCTTACTTATTTACGTTGGTAATGCAGGTTTTATCTCTCATTATCCGTCATAAAATTTGGGAAAGAAAGGGTCTCAAATTCCACTACTGTTGTGATAAACTTGGGATAAGTCATCTTTGCTTTGCGGATGACTTATTCCTCTTTTGCCACAGGAACCCTTTCTCGGTTCAAGTATTGAGAAACGCCCTTATTGAATTTTCTAAATTATCTAGCCTGGTTCCAAACATTGCCAAAAGTTCCTCATTTTTCTATAATGTGAAAGATGAGCACCCAGTTGTTATCAACAATATTATGGGCTTTGCTGAAGGAAAGCTCCCTATCAGATATCTTGGTGTCCCCCTTATTACCACCAAATTATTTCATAGAGATTGTTTGCCCTTGATTGATAAGGTGGAACAATGGCTAAAGTCAAGGAAAAATCGAAATTTATCTTATGTTGGTAGGCTGCAGTTAATTATCTCGGTGCTCTCTTCTATTCATATTTATTGGGCTTCTGTCTTCATTCTTCCTGGCTCAGTTATCCAGACAATAGAAAAACTTTTGCAATCGTTTCTTTGGTCTGGCAATGACATGAGCAAAGGGAAGCTAAGGGTTGCATGGAAAGATGTCTGAATTCCTAAAAAAGAGGGTGGTTTGGGAATTCAGTCTATCGGAAGTAAGAACATTCCTTTGGAGTATATTGTCAGGAAGGGACTCCTTATGGGTCAAATGGATCCATACTTACAGGCTAAAGGGGAGGAGTTTTTGGAATATCAATGTTGCATGGGATGCCAATTGGTGTTGGTGTAAATTATTGAAAATGAGGGAAAAAGTCAGAAAGCATATTCGGACTACTCTTGGTAATGGACAGGATACTTTTTTGTGGTTTGATAATTAGCACCCGCAGGGACCCCTTGACGAGATTGTTCCTTCACAGATCTTCTACCTTTCAGGCTTGGGGCATAATGCCCCAGTGAGTGCAATCTTTAGAAATGGGTTATGGGAGTGGCTAGAAATTCTTAGGGAAGAATATCCAGTGGTAACCAATCACACACCTCCTATCTCCAAGGTTGGCACAAGGGACACCCTATATTGGCAGGATAAAAATGGTAAAAAGGTCCAATCCTCCACTAGACAGGTTTGGAAAGACCTTTACATGGAAAATGGGTCTGCCCCTTGGTGTTCTTTAATTTGGAATGGTACTTGTATACCCCACCACTCTTTTATTGCCTGGCTTGCCATTAATCGAAAAATTCTAACACATGATAGAATGCAAAGATGGATGAATTCAAAAGAACTTTGTTGTAGACTCTGCAATGGCCCCATGGATTCACATGAACACCTATTTTTTGATTGCCCTTACTCCCAAAAAATGTGGAAGGCTGTTCAAATTAAGGGGCAGTTTCGACCACCACCAGGGGGATGGATTGACATTGTAAACTGGTGTACAGCTAAATTTAGAGGTAAAAAGATTCAAAGTGTTCTTTGTAAATTGTTATTTAGCGCTGTGGTGTATTTCTTATGGCAGGAGCGGAACTTTCGATTGTTCAAAAACATACGGAGAAGTACAGATATGTAGGAAATTCTGTTGTTTGGGGAGGTTAGACTCAGACTTCATTCTTTGAAGTTCAAAGATAACAGAAGAGTCCGTAAAGTTGTGGAAGAATGGAACCTTCCTAAGGATTGCATAAAAACTGACACACCCTAGCTTGTTTTACCATTCCTCTTTATGAGGCCTTTTGATGGGAGTGTGAGGAGTCTGGATTTTTATTGGTGCTGCCCTTCTTGGCTAAGGAATCTAGAACTATGGTTTATGATTTGGATGAAGGGAAGAATTTTTGTTGATGCTCAGCAAGATGCCTCAATTCATTTTTTATGTATGCCCCTTATATCTCTTGTTCCTTTTGGTTGATGTTGCTGCTGCCACCCATCATGGCCTTTGGATCAATCTTTATTCGGACATGCTATTGCCCATGTTCGAGGTTTATTATGCTTTTTGCTGGTGTCAGGAATTGTTTGTGGGCTTATGAGTGGCTCTTGGCTAGCTTTCATAGTGGTTTCCAAAGGGAGACCAAATATTACTTAGTATGGCCTTGGGACAGTTGGCTGATTCTTTGGTTTGTGGTCAGTAGTGAGGTTGCTGCTAGTATATGGGTTTGGACCTTTTAGTAAATGATGTTTTTTTGTATATGCTGTATTTTTTTGGTTCCTGGGAATGTCCAAGACGCTTAAACTTTTGTAGAGACTCTATTTAGGGTCTCATTCTTTTATTCTTTATACTATTTCCATTTACCCAAAAAAAAAAAAAAAGACAGAATGGACAAAGTACATACCATAATCCTTTACCTCGCCAATCTCGTGGCAAGTTAATGGCATTAAGTATGTAGAGATTAAGAGAAGACTTGTTGTTTCATCAACACTTGGCAGGACTTATGGAAAGAAATGAAGGGACAGTTAAGCATAGACACTTGATTGGGGAGTGCGTCAACAAAAATTGGAATCATGCTCTAAATACACAACATTAGCAAGGATTATATTCAATCAACTACACGGATAGACTACAACCTTGGACTTCCCCAGAGTAGTAAAGGGACATTTTGACCAAAATAAAGATAGAAAAGACAATAGTGGAGCTTCAAAAGGGTAAGTCTTCTAGACATATAAACTCCATGTAGGATCATGAAGATTGATGAGGACAAGAACAGTTTAACTCATCATCACCATCTATATAGGAAGGGCTACGTTATGTAATGATTGGTAAAAGAGTCAAAGGGGAGAGTTGAAGCTTAGAAAAATTGGTTCTCATGTGATGGTCCTCATTATGCAAGAGTGTCCTTAAGTCTCACAGTCCAGTAGTAGGAGAGCCCAAACCACACACAATTGGGAGGTCTTCAACTCCTCAATTAGGAGCTCTTTAGACAAAATTTATATGGTAGTTTGAGTACGTTGCATAGTTTAATTTCTTTCCTTTTAAATTTAACTTCAATGTATTTTCCCACAGGATATTTCAATTTTTTTATCCTGTTTCTTGCCTATTGGAGTAATTGCTTGCTTGATCACTTGCTTCCTTTAGAATTTACATATAACCTAAGTTCACCAAACTCTAAAATGAGAGTCAATCAAAAGTCTAGAGTTGCATAATCAATTAGTTATGTGAGATATTTATCCAGATTTCATTTTGCTTCTATGTATGAGACACAGAAACTGAGTGAAAGCGGAAACAGACAGGTTGAGATACTTTGGTTGTGCAACCAAGATTGACACTTGTCAAGATAATACTTTTGATCGGAGAAATTAGGAAGCTGGAGCAGAGGCAAAGAATATGAGTCAAGAAGATAAAGGCACAGCATACTGTATTACAACTGTTAATGAAATTGATCTTAGTTTCGACATTCAACCCACTCAAAACATATAATTAGCTATTGCATAGAAAATGCTATGTTTGTAGGATATTTAAAAGAAAAAAAGAATAATAACCAGTGTAAGAAGAACTTACGAATTGGTTAAATTGGCATGAGCGAAGTGTCATTTAAAATCATAGTGAGGATGGTATATCATGCCAATCTGATTTTCACCAACATAAAATATCTCTTTTGGCGTCTTAGACAAGTAACAAATCAAAGAAGTGAGATGCGTATGAATGTAGAAATTAAGGAGTAAGGGAGATGAAATTGAATCTATTGTGAATAATCAAATGATTTTCCATTATTCAGAATTCCAAAGCTTGGTTCTCATAAGGAACCATTACCTAAATTATGCTAATTCCGCCTTCACCACCATATTGATTTTTCCCCACCTTCAGTACTTTCTTAAGCACTTTAAGTTCCTAATCCGAAATCCTCGGCTTTCTGATGAGGTTCATATCGTCTATATTTAACATTAAGACCCTCAACAATTCATTCAACCCACAGTATGCCAAAATTAAATTTTCTTGGCTTTCCCTTGAATCTATCTCCTATATATTTTAATTATTAGTATATCCTCACAATTGGTCCAAGTTTTCAGTAGTTAAACTAGTTTCATTCAAGAATTATAACACACTTACCTATATTTGTATAAAACCATAACAATGGATCGGTTTCAGCTCAACAACGCGTTCAATTCAATTGCAAAACATTTTCAATTACATATTATCCCCGAGATCCAATACTCAGAAAAAATAAAAAATAAAAAAAATTATATTCTCACATTCCACTTCAAAACAACAAACAACTGAATAACTAAAAACTGAAATAAAATGAAAAAGAAGACTCACAGTGCTGCCACGTGTTTCCCGCTAGATCCTCAGCTTTTCTCGTTGCTTCTCCAACTCTCTTCCCCCACCGCCCGAGCACGTCTTTCACATTCACCATCGAATCTAATACAAAAAAATCCCCTTAAACATACTTATAATTGTACAAAATACAAAAATCGTATATACAACACACGGTACATACCTTTAAAAGAAAATGAAGAGGACTGCCCGGCCGGAGCGTGAGCAACATAAGGATTGGATCCGTCACGATCAGACATGTTATAATCGAAATTACGAGTATTCTGAGCGTGCGATTCGGTCACCAAATCGGGGCTCCAGTGGACCGATTTCCTAGACATGGATTCCGTAGGCGACGGTTCCGTCTGATTGGTGGACTTCTCTAATTGGATCTTATTCTGAGTTTCAGCTTGAGTATCAGTTTTCTGAGATTCGGATCCCATTTCGATACTTTGCCAGTTATTATTGTCCTCGCCATTGGTTGTCTCGGCGGTGTCCGCAGGTTTTGGGCTAGGATCGGGCTTGGGGTTGAGGGCCTGGGCCGGAGGTTCCGGCTTGCTATTGTGGTCGGTGGTGTCCGCCAACTTGGGAGGTTGTTGATCCATGATTTCTAGAAGTTTCGAGTTATGATTTGGAAAGTGAGTTTGGAAATGGAGTTTGAAATGTGGGGGAAGATTTTTGATCAAAGGATTCGAAGAAGGGTTAAGCGTAAAGGACGGTGATGGGCCGTAGAAAGAGATGACTTATTTTAGCGCCAAGAAGAACTGGTTGGACCATTTTGACTTGACTTCAATACTTCATGCATTCATTGTTCTATCCTCCTGATAAAATTTCTCTTTTGATTTCGCTACATAAATAAATAAATAATTTTTTAGACTGAAAATAAACAAAATGGTCTATAGCTATCACAAAAGTTGAAGAAAAAATTGGAAAAAAAAAAAAAAAAATTCTAATCTCTTTGTTGACAGTATTTATTATTTAATTTCACTAAGCATTACAAATTTTGTGATACAAAAAGCAATAAAAATATTGGTTGGTACCACAAATATAAATATTTTCTTTTTTCTTTTTTTTCATCATAATTCTAAATATATTCTAAATATGTATCACTTACAATAACTCGAGTATTAAAAGGGTTTATAAATCAATTATTGGAAGCCTTTGTTATAAACATTTTTTTATTATTTGTATTGATATTGAAAAGAAAGAAATTATTAATATAAATAAACCTAAAATTAGGATGGGCAAAATTGGACATGATGTGATAACATGATACGAACCCACACATTAAAAACGGGTTTGGGTTTAGTTTTATTAGTTTAGGTCATTGCCAGGTCAACTCGGTAGTAACCTGTTTCATAACAGGGTTCAGGTTTAGTCATAAAAAAATGATTGACTCGTTTGACTTTTTAATTAAATGTATTATTAATTTTAGTAACAAAATATTTGAAAAAGCATAACATATAATATGGAATATTTTGATTATTTATTTCCCGTTTTAAACATTTTAACCTAATTGCTCTAAAATACTTGCTAATTTCTATTATCATTGAACAACAAAGAAAAAAGTTTCATTATCGCCAAGATTCTTTAGTCATCTTCACATTTAGAACAGGTGAATTTTGATTTGCTTTATTTGTATTTTGGGATTATATGATTATGATTTTTTTATGCATTTCAATATATGTGTGTTTATGTATATAGTTTAGTTCAAATATAAAATTATCTTCAAGAGCATATATATATTTGGGTATGTTAATTGGCAGCCACCCTTCGTCGTTGCTACAACTTAACTTGAATTAATGATGATATTATATTTCAATGTTTAATAAGGAAAAAAAATTAATGAAGGTTTATATATATTTGGGTATGATAATTGGTAGCCACCTCTGTTCTTGTTACAACTTGAATTAATGATGATATTATATTTCAATGTTCAATTAGAAAAAAAAAAAAAATTAATGAAGGTTTCAATGGTTTGGATTTGGATAACACGTTAAAAATAGCGTTTGGGTTCGTGTCGTAATATTTGGATGTAATAAGGTACCAAGTTGGGTTCGATTAAAATTTTTTTGACACAAAACGAATGAAACGGATACGAAACCATTTCAACACAATCCATTACCAGGTCTAAGCTAAAATTATACTAACATATATTTGGTTTACTTTTACTTTTTTTAAATTTTAAGTTTTACTTGGTCACGTATGAAGCTCATGATTGGTTAATAATTTAAAGGAATAAGAAATTTAATCAGATCTTAGTTATATATATTATAATATTGTGTATTTATTGTAAGGTCGTTTTATTGTAGAATTATTGTAGATCATTCAAAGATACAAAAAATTCAAGTAACGTAACATTCGAATAGTATATATATGAAAAGATAATGAATTATTACTCCGCCATCACTGCCGTCCATAAATATGTATCAATGATTGGAAAAGGATTTGAAAGGCCTTGATTAAAATAGTGAAAAGTAAGGATATTATGAGAGATGTTGATAAAAGGAGGACAATAAAGCAACCTTCACATCCGAGGAAATGTATTTGTCATGTAAAGGCATCATTCAAAACTTCTGATTGAAGCTCAGCATTATCTGTAAGCCTTTCTCATCCGTACACAATTCACAAGGGAGATATTATGTTGATGTTTGGTTTTGATTCTAATAACTCACACGCATAAAATGTTAAATAGGCTTAGAAATCACATGTGATAAGAAAACATAAAATGAAACAATGAATAAAAAGTGATATTTAAAGTAGTTTGGATGCTCAAAAGCGAATCATATGTCCACTGTTATTGTATTTATAGATGGATAAAACTAGGTCGCGTGTGGCGAGCTGATTATAATCTAGAAAGAATACAAGAGAGAAAATGTGTAAGTTATTGTAGAATAAGATTAGTCAATCCCGTAAATGGGAGAGATGTCCTCTATTTATAATGGGAGAGTTCAAGGTAATGATTATAAGTCTGTAAGTTGGTAGGTACGGTGTAAATCATTCTTTGCATCCCATTGGTTATCTGCACGAGAAATATCCTCAAATTCCGTAGAGCTTGGACAACCACTCGCAAACCTAGCACTCACCTACTGTACTAACAAGAACCATACCCCTTGCGTCACTGCGCGACGTGGCAATGTTTGGACGACATAAAACATTTCTGAACTCTGATTGACTCTTGTTGACAAGAGTGCAGGTGAATTAGGGGTGTTCAAAAGCTGTTAACCGAACCGGTTAACTGCTTTTCTAAACCGAACTAGATTTTTGGTCTAGGAAAATTTCCGAACCGAAACCGAACCGGTTTTAGGGAAAACCGGTTTTTCAGTTAATCGGTTTTCCCTTTTTTTTTTTTTTAATTTTGTCCTAAATTAAATTGTAAATATAGACAATACATTGGGAACTAAAAAAAAAAAAATTGGGTTGGGATTTTAGATTGAGTGAATTAGGAATTTATTTTAGTTTAGGTTATTATTTATTTATTTAATATAATATATATATATTTGAAAAACTAGTTTAGAAAGCCGGTTTTCGGGTAACCGTTTCTAATTTCTCCCGAACTGGTAACCGAACCAAAAATTCTGTTTTTTGAATTTTTCAAACCGTAACCAAACCATTTTTTCAGTTAACCGGTTTTTCGGTTCAGTTAGTGATTCAGTTTAATTCGGTTTTTGTATTTTTTTGAACACCCCTAAGGTTAGCTATAACTTCTCAAGCATAAGATATTAAAAATAAAGATCATCAGGTTCTTATGCATTGAAGTGACATTAATTTCAGAACATTATTGTTGTTTAAATTGGTAGAAATACTGAAACGAGGAGATTTTTAGGGGGTGTTTGTCTAAGCTTATAAGCTGGTCAAACTTGCTTATAAGCTCTAAAATTAAGCTAACCTGTTTGTTTATAATTTTTTTAAGCTTATAAGTTGAGCTTATAAGCTAAAAAAATAAGTTTAGGGGGAGGTACTTTTTTTTTTGGCTTATAAGCACTCTGCTTATAAGTTAGTTTGACCAACTTATAAGCTAAAAAAATAAGTTTGGGGGGAGGTACTTTTTTTTTTTTGCTTATAAGCACTCTGCTTATAAGTTAGTTTGACCAAGTATATTACCACATTATCCTTGTTTAATTTTAAAATTCCATAGTATACCTTTGTTTAATGTAGTACCTTTTTTAGTCATTTTATAATAAAATGTACTTATAAGCCACATTTTACCAAACACGTCAACTACTTATCAGTCACTTATAAGTAATTTAACCAAACACGTAATTGCTTAAAATTTCAAATGTTTATAAGCTAAAATTAGCTTATAAGTACTTGTTGCTTATAAGCTAATTTTCATAAGCTCAGACAAACACCCCCTAACTAATCAAGTCTTGGTACAGAGTGGCCCCTTGGGGTCCACAAATGATTCCAGAAGAGTAGTTCCTCCCTGCTTCAAAAAATCAGACTCACCTGCACCACAAATGAAAATCATGTCTCTCACTCTGACCTCGCGCCTATGACTCTCAACCCATACATTGTTGAACATTCTCTAAATTCATGTCAGTTGGTCTCAATTTGGTATATGTAGCATTATTGTTCAATTTATATATATTTGTTCTTCTAATTAAATTTAGGGGCAATATTCAGAAAAAAAAACTATGGCAAAGCCCAGAGAACTGTAGACCTTGTGGAGTTACCTAAGAAATGGAGAGATGGGCACTGGATGGGAGATGAAATTGCGTTAGCCGCAAGCTTGGGTTGTCCAAAGACTCCAAACTTGAATCCGCCATATCACAAAGTTTATTCTTTTTACTTTTGTAAGAGGCTAAGAGCCACCGCCTACATTTTCACAATTTATGTATGTACATCAAATCTCATTCCCCTCCACACAAATCTGACTCTGTTCACAATAAAATAGTAATAATATTCAAAATGCAATTTTAAACTAAGAGTTGATATTTACCTCTTCTTGCATCCTTGGCAAAGCAGCTAATATAAATGACTAGTGGTGGAAAAGCAACTCGTCCGGCCCAGCCCAACCCGACCCCGCCCTTGGCGGGTTACTGCAAATGACGGGTCGGTCTTGACCCGCCCGACGACATTGGCGGGCCGGGTTAGGCCCGCCAACATTAGAGAATTGGCTGGCCCAACCCGGACCGCCAACCCTAACCCGCTGGATTAGGCGCGGGTTGGGTCGGGTTAACCCGCTTTTTGACTATTTTTTTTATTTTGTTTTGTTTTATTTTATTTAAGTTTAAATGTTTAATTAACTTTTCAAATGAATAATTAACAATTTATAAATATAATTGTTTTTAGTTAATTGTTAATTTCTTTTCAAATATCAATAATTAAATTAAATTAATTTTTTTTTGTTAACATTCCAAATATTAATTCAATTTTAATACATTAAAATTGTAATATAAGAATAATTAAATTAAAGAAAGAGAATTGGAGTATGGAAATTGGAATTTGGAAAATTGGAAATATGAATTAAAAATTGCAAAAACTAATAAAAATTAAAATATGAGTAAATTGCAAAAACTAATAAATGAATAATTGAGACTTGAGAGATTAGAGATTAGAGAATATGAGAGAATGAGAGAATTTGAGTTGTGAGAAAAATGTGAGAGTTTAGGGCCAATTTATAGGAAAAAATGGGAAAGAAAAATGACGAAAAAGACCACTTCAACGGCTATAAAACGGCTATATTTCAAGGGTAAAGGGATAATTTGAAAAATAAAA